GTGCAACCACTAGTTTCTTGTTTGTTTCCAGAAGACAACAAGAGCTGAGTGGATCTGCTCAAGTCTTACACACATTAAATAATGTTCATATGGTCTCAACATACTCAACACAGATATTAAATAACAGAATGTGTGTAATATTAATAACTCCACAACAGCCAGCAGGAGAGGCTTCATGACAAATACTAAGATACATCATGATAATGCAGCATGATATCAACAATGTGGCATCAGTGTCATCATACTGTCTGTTGTTCAATGAGGAGGTGTTGCTCTGCAGACACGTGAACTCTGAAATGTTTTGCTCTTCTGGTTCAAACTCTTTGTCTGTTTTAATCTGTGTGACTTTTAAACATTCAAACGTTCACGTTGCTGAAGGTAAAAAAAAATCCTCACACGTTCTGCTTTACGTGTTTCATCTGAGCATTCTGCAAAAACCTGTGAAACTAAAACATTCACAGAGCGATGACTACAAACAGCACAGGTTCAAGTCCTGCTGAACAACAACTGTGTGTTTCTAGAATCTTTGTCTTCAGTCACTCAGACAGCATGAAACATCACAGAAACATTTCTCCCCTGTATGGTCAGTGGTACTCACAGGGATGTTTTCTGTCACAGATGTCACTATGAGATCTTCACCTGCAGCTCTGTGTTGGAGTTTTCAGCACAAACTGAGGCTCTGATGTCAAACATTCTTCTTCATGGCCTCATTTTATTTCCTCCACCTCAGTTAAACTACACTTTGATCATAATCTCTGTCACGTGTCTTTCTCTCTCCACAGGAAGGTCAGAGGATGCGTGTTAATAATTAGGCCTGAACTGTGGCTGGAGGAAGCTCTTCCTGTTCACTGCCTCAGCACTGAGTTGATCACAGAGTGTAGAGGAGTGAGCAGGGTGACAGCGCCCCCTCTGGACACATCCTGTATCTTCCTCTGAGCTCATAATGGGAAAGCACCTGAGAGTCACACTTTGAAATGACATCATCAAGCCAACTTCTTATAAACGGCTGCTGAGTCCTCCAAACTAAACAATTAAAGTAGGACAAAACTCATTTCATATTTCCTACCAGAGGATGTCATGTTAGTTTCTGTTGGTCTCAACCTGTCTATTAATTCCTCATAAAGTACTCATAACCAAATGTATTCATCAAATTACCAAAAAAATAAATACATAAAATAAAATCAATCAAAATGTATTTAGCATTAAAGAAGAGTCCTGAGAAGTAAAAATGTCTTTAATTTCAATAATTTCTCAATTTGGGATAAAGCATATACATTTATCCTCCTAAAAATGTAAACACTTAATATATGTTTCATTATGGAACAACAAACACACAAAACACTTAATTGACTTTTCAGAACCACTTTATTTATGTATTAAATTTACTCTGTACAGGGAACATTAAAATCTAGGAATGTCACACTTGGTTCAATAATGGCCTTAATATTCCCGACACCACTCATAAAAACTGATAACAGAACAGATCCCCAAGAAAAATGCCAAATACATATCAGCCAATAAAACGAAGCTTTGAGGAAAAATTCAAAAATGCAGAAAAAAGCTGCTGGAAAGAAACAACTTAATTGAAAAAAAACCCACTAAATTCTAAATTTGCTTTCTGTTTTAATCACTTCAGTATGTAGATATATAAATGAGGAACAAACATTTCAGTTTACAAACCCACTTCAACAGCTGCACAGATTCAGATTAGAGACTATTTACAACCACAGAGATCTGAACTTCAGTCCGACATGTCAGAGGGCTGAGACACTCAGATCCTGAACGAACCGCGTTCAACCAAAATCTGCTTCGTTTTAATTGTTTGATGGACTCGACTGACAAAAGGACAATCGAGTGTTCATTAATTCAAACGCAAGGCTCTGTTTACCTACATGAACAAGAAGCTGTTTCTCTGTTCTCTCATGTCGTTGACCTCAGATAGCTGCTGCAGTGAATTCTCCCACAAAACATCTGCTGACATCTGGACAGCAGCATCACCTCTCACCAAATGTTATTCACTCACTCACAGTCAAACTTCTGACGGCACATTTAACAAGAAAAATCCACAAACTGCATTTAAAGGCAGCGTGTGGACAGAAATGAACCATGAATGCAGGTAAACTGGAAAAAAAATGATCCAAACAAAACAATCAGCAATATTCTTCAGAGAGGAGATTTAGAAACATCTGAGAAAATTTGATTTCAGCTCAGATTTTGTACTTTGCCTGATTTTGTAGATTAAAACCGACGACTCTGAGATTTGTTGATGCTACATTCATTTATTTTATCATGATCTTCTGTTCATCGCTGATCTTCTGTTGAGACAGTGAAACAAACAGGGAGAAATATTCATATCATGCAGTCTGCCATCTTTCACATTCTACTTCACATCGGGTCACTTTTCTGTAGTTACACTAAATCACACAGTGAGAAATCAATCAAGAGACGAACATCTTCCATCTCAAACATCACAGGACGACAACACGTCTACATGTTTCTGAATGTCTGGTGACACTACAGTGATATATATATGTTCAGGTTGGTGAGCTACGTTTACGTGACAGTGAACTCACCTTCTTAGGGTCTGAATCTTCAGCCTAAGAAGACGACGTGTCAGAATCTAAAAAACAAAACAGTTCAATGTGAAAAGGAAAACTATGCTGTGAGACAAAACTTGACTTTAGTGATTTCACTCAAGTTGGTCTAATTGATGTTAAAAAAGAAAAGAAACTTGAAATATATGAAATACTTACTGCTCGCTTTGCTGAAGCCTGAAATACAGAAGACAGCATCACAGAGGTGTTATTCATTCAGAATGTGTGAAACGACAACAAAAACATCTGCAGCTCTTGTAAAAAAAAAACATTTCAACTAACTGTCATACAAAAATCTAATAGTTAGACTTTGTAAACATGACAAATATAAAGATTTAACGTTACTGATACCAAAAAAACTGGAAATGTTGATTCACATTGGAACTAAAATGGTCCTAATGATGATTAAAAACATCTTTTGTTCCTCACCGTTATTGTTACTTCTCCTGATGAGCACTACAACGATGCAGACCAGGGCCAACAGTCCTACAAGACCTCCAACAACAGCACCAACAGGGAACCCCGAAGGACCTGGAACTAAAAGCAGACATTCACTCTGTTTATCTCACTGTTGAGCCCCTGGATGGTCAGATCATGTTCAGTAGCACAACTTCAGTCCTTCGAGCATTTGAAGGAGAACACAGGACAAACTGGAGAGATTCTAAATGTGTTTTAGTGAATATTCAGGGAGGTTTTTTCTAAACCACACACACAGTCATGAAGCTTTTAACTGATTTTTTTTTCCATTACTGCTTTGCTGAAAACCGTGTTCCAATATTGTACATAATTTTAAAATATTGCTGCCACCTGTTTTTACACCTGCATGAAGGAAAATCCTGAATAAAGAATAAACTGTCATCAGGGTTTTAATGCTTTAACCAATAAATACTCTCCATGTTACAAACACCACGTAAAGGCAAAAACATCTGATCAAATCTAAGCTATCTACAACTCAGAATCATCTATCAACAGCAGAAATCTCAGCAAGCAAACATGAAGCACTTGATCAGAAAACACCCACATTCACATTGATGAAGATAAATTCATCCCATCAAAGTAAACAGAGAAAATAACATCAGTTTTACAGCAGCTGTGAAGCAGCAACACAAGAAGTAATGAAGCGATTAATACAGGATCGTTTATCATGAATGAAAAGGATGTTTGTGGTACGTATGTATGACTTTGAATGATAATACAAAAGTACAGAGATATGTGGTGGAAAATATAAAGTTAGATTTTAGGAGAGTATTGAGTAACTGGCAAGAGAACAGTTTTTCTACGTAACCTTACGACAGTGAAAAGCAGATTAAAGGTGTTTTTATGGATATTTTATTAAAAGAGTAAAACTAAACGCATGATTAATGAATAAACTCTGTCATGATCAGGTTTTAGGCTGCTGTATGTTGGAAGCACAAAAAAATCTTACCATGTTTGGGCAAGATCGCTGCTTTGACCAGTCTGATTCTGATGTCGTCTTTGACACCAGACAGCTGAAACACACAGTGGTATTTCTCCCAGTCAGCAGGTGTGATGGATGAAACCTTCAGGTCAACACTCATCTGGAAGCTTCCATCATGGTTGGGGAGGATCTCTCCTTTGTCCACGTTCTCATGAAGCTCCTCTCCATCTTTGGTCCAGAACAAGTTGGCTCTGTCGGGGTAGAAACCTGTAGCGTGGCAGGTGACCAGAGAGGAGGCAGTCTTCTGGAGGAGAGACACTGAGGGAAGATCTGGGGAGAGAAGAGAAAGACAGCTCATAGTTTAATAATTGTTTAATACTTAGATCAACATTTATATTTAATGTAGTTTAAATGTCAAGTGTAATTAAGAAAAGAGGGTGATAGAAGAGAAGAAAGACAGATGAAGAGATGTGAGGAGGAGATGAGAGAAAGTTGAGAAAAGCAGAGAAAAGACAGAAAGAAGCTGAGCAGACAAAAGAAGACAAAACAGAATAAGAGTGGTGATGAATATTTAGACTGAGACACATGGGTTCATGACTACATTATGTACGTAAGACATTGAAGGAAAAGAGCGTTTAATCAAAGACATTAAATCAGATCATGTGATTTCACCTTTTCTCATCAGAGAGCTCCTCCCGTAGTTCACATACTTCTTCAGCCACTCAACACAGTCCTGGGTGTAGTAGTTCTTCAAGTATGACAGTCGAGCTTTCTCATTGTTCCACTTGTTTTTGCTGATGACAGCCTGTGGTTTGGGAGCGATGTACGTCATTGTCTTCAGGTCAAACGATATGAAGTCTTCTCCATCATAACCATACTGATCATATCCATTAACCTCTTTTGTCTCATCATCCCATTCACAGCCGTACATGTTCTGGACAAGGTGAACACCTGAGAGACACAAAGACTTCAGTAAATAAAAGTGAGATCACAGCACAATCTTCTGTTAACCGTTTAAATCACATATTTAGCACAAAGTCACACTGATCAACACATTTCTAACCAGTAAATCTACACCTGCTGTTATCGGCCTCTTACA